AAAAAAAAAAAAAAACGTTCTATGAGCAGCCGTACTTATAAACTCCCTAGATCATTTCCTTCTTTAAAAATGGGCAAGAATGAACTTGAAAGTAATTCGGGGATTTTATCATCACATTTGGCACACTTTAATACCCCGTTCTAAATTTTTTTCCAAGCAAAAACCGTAACTGTAATTTCAAATCTTTTTCTTCTCCTGAGCCAGAAACTGCACCGGTAATTGAAAACACTGAAGAGTGACTGAAACGCACCACAGTCTGATGTCAGGCGAAGGACACGAATACCACCTTTACTCTTCTATAAAATTTCAAGTCACTGTAAATCTCGGACTGCAGTCAGAAAGATAACAGCAAATCATTTTCAAATCATCGTTGAGCACTTCCCATCACAGTCTGCAGAACCTCGACCGCTCACACCACGCAGGGAAAAGAGCAACCAGTGGAAGCTGCAGCTCCAATATACGCCACACTTTTTAAAACATATCTTGGCATACCATAAGCTGCTTCAATACGTCAAATCTAAACTTGCCTAACTACTTCTTCAAGGTGCCCTAGCAAAGTCCAACATAGCAAATTGTCAACCAGGTGTCCATACTTCCTATATTTAGAATGTTCAGACAGACAAAAAACTGCGCCTGCCCTCTGCAAATCACACAGTTGTATTTGTTCACAGTAGAACTTTCAAACAAGCGCCACTTTAAACATCAATAATTCTTAAATGAAAAACTTCTCAAACGTCTTCAACAGCTCCTAAAACCTTACCGGAAGCATAGTTATTTATCGCCGCTGTAAACCCATAACTGTGACAAGAAACGAAAAACGCGAAGTTTTACCCCACGCAAACTTTTATAGCTGACAATTTTGAATTCAATTTTGCTACATCCGTCCTCTTCAACGTGCTTCAGAGTTAGATACGATACTGAACGAACGCCAATAAGAATGTCTTTCCAGGCTTTAATTATTGCAGCAAAACGAAGAACTGTATAACAATTACAAAAAACCTCGTTCCCACGGTCACCAGCATCTAAACCACTGAAAACTGAGTTTTTAAACATTTCATAATCTTCTGTTACCAAAAAACAACTTCAACTGTTTTATGACAATGACAAGAATATCAAGGTTACAAGCAAGAAATATAAAAATCTTTGTGTACCGTCGTCCTTTGAAAATCCGCAAAACTTAACGCAAATGACACTTTCTACTTCAGCAAAGCTCTTGAACTCCCTAACTCAACTGACTGGAAACTTTCAAATACATACCCGCGAAACAAAGTCAAGAACTTATGACAGAGTTATCTGAATTGAAAAGAAATAACGAGTTCTCCCGGTCAAATCAATCGCTAATTAAAACTCTTGTCGTTATGGTTCCTCAACGTAATCAAACCAAAAAAAACAAAAAATTTAATAGGAACAGATTAGTTTGTTAAGGCACCAAACGATAACCCTCAGCAAAGCCGTCGAAATCCGCTAAAGACTAGGCTCTGAAAAATAACAATTCTACACAAAATGCATCTTTGAAAAGAAGAGCAAAATCAACCGGAAAACAATGACAATAAAGGGGAATACCCAATAGATGATCAAGAGGAAAACCTCAAAAACAAAATCCAGCAGTTATATATTAGGAACAATACTGCCATGAACATAAAATGGGACATCATATCCAGTAATAAAAATAATAAAAATTGAACCATTATGCAACAGACATACAATGTCAACAAATCTTACAATTGTGGTACATCTATCTCACTCAAACCTAGCTTCACATTCAGCAGAAAACAAAAAATAACTAAGTCATCACCCCAAAATAATACCTGTATTTTAAAAATTCCCTTATAAATCCAAAAACTATACTTTTACTTCAACAAAATGAACGCTGAATTAAACTTCACGCTTATGCCCGTAATCATGAGAAAGTAAAAGCAACAACCCAAAAAAACCTATTCAAAAATTTGCGACACTGTAAATAAAAGGAACAGGTTCTTTAAATTCACTTCTTGAAAATGTCCAATCCTTCAAGCAAACCTTTGACATTACTTGCGTTATTAGTGAAAAAGTGCAATGAAAAAAAATTCAAAAGACAATAGACGTTAAAACTTTGGAGCAATGTGAGGAAATTTACAATTTCTCATCGACAATAACCTGTTCACGAACAGGCCATTTGAGATCCCCGAAAGACCGATCGAGATCATAACTGGCCGCCTGAAAAAAATACCATTCCGCTCGCAAACACACAAGAAAAAAAACAGTATTTCCAAATATCTCATGCTAAAAAATGAAGTTAAGCGGCAAAATAAACGAAAGCAAGTTGTAGAAAAAAGGACGAAATGCTGTAACAATTTTTTGAACGAAAACTGAAGAGGTGACCGCTAACAATTCTGCAAAAACGATAAGAGAACTAAACAAAAATTCTTAAGCAAACTGTGACTTGTGACATCACGTAGAAAACCAAAATTCGTTTGCAAAAAAACCTACTTCCAACACCTCAATAAACGAATTAATACAAAGTTAACATCAATTCCACACCGTTTGAATATAAATAAGTTTTTGCCGTCAATAAAAAATCAAAACTCACTATTGTAGATGGAATTTGCAAGATAAATTTTACACCTCCCTAATCCAATTTGCTCTAAAAGCATAGTGTACAAGAATACTATTTTACCGCTTCCCATATTGAGTTGGTAGAATTAGGAACTCATTCTGCAATTGACACCAAGTCTTGGGCCGGCTTTATTTGTGACATTAGTTTCTCAAGCCCTCACAACTACAAAACTAAGTAAAATCCATACAGTGGGAAAAAAAGAAATCAGTCTCCATTTTAACAAAGATAAAAAGAACATCAAATCAAGAAATGCTGATTTAGCAAACCAGTAACAATGAGGCTCAAATATGATTGGTACTCCGTACTGCTGAAAACCCAGAGCCTTTTTTAAAGCAAATCCCCAAGACCCAGAACAAACTTCAGTCTTACCATCAGTATAATAGCGCACTTTCAAAATTCAATGAAAAAGGTAAAAAAATCCCAAAAACTTATGAACCATTTGGAGATGAAAACGTCTAGGAATTGGTGTCAGTGTCAACAAGATATTCCATGACTAAACTTTAAAAGATATTCATTAATTTACGCCTTTTTAAAACTGTAGTAGCTTTAATTATACAAATTGAAAGACCAAATAATGTTACTATCAACAACATTACTTAAAACGCCCAGGTTTCCAACAACTTACAAGAAATAAGGTTCAATCATACCGCAAAAAGAAGCTTCAATTAAAAAAGAAGAGTGAAAATATTAAGGAATTTAGCGTTACCATGTCCTTTTTCGGAAAGTCAGAAGTCCATATCCTATGATGTTCAAGACTATATCCTTTTGACTCTATAAAAGTTGCAAGATTCCTAAGGGGTTCGCTCATCCGAAATCTAGAAAATTTGTTATGTGACAGCACCAAATGCATTATTACGTTATAAATGCGAGTAGAGAAAGAAACGAAATAGACCTCCTTAGCTCAACTTTGTGCTCCCCGTCCTCAGAACTTCTCGGAAAACGAATACGCACATGAACAACATTACGATCACTGGCTAATGGCTCCGGAGGCAATGAGGCAGCTAGTCTAGCCTCATTCTTCAACTTCATTTGTTTTTCATGTAACCGCGCTTTTTCCTTTTCCCTGCAAATCAACAAATTTTATCGGTTATTTAAATAAAATTACTGCTCTTTCACAGACAAAATAAAAAAAAAACTCACTCCTCTTCTCTACGCTCCCTTTCCAGACGCTGAGATTTCGCTCTGTCAGCAGCCAAAGACTCTTCGTACTCTTTCGCTTGCTGCTTTATAATCTGTTCCCTAAAGTTCACATAAATTAAGAAAAAAAACCAAGAGTTCCTCCAAAGAAGTATAAACTGAAGATTAATAAACAATTAAAAGAATAACCACAGTAACCGTCTGCCTTCCTACTCCATCGTAGCTGTAAGTGAACCATCTCAAATTGTAATCAAAATGTAAAAGACAAACCTTTCAAGACGTTCTCTTTCTACTATAGCGTCTGCGCTCTTTATCTGTTGGTAGCTATTCAGACCGGTCATTAATTTATCAACCACAGTTTCAGGGTTATCAACACCTAAATGTCCCAAGGAAAAATGAAATACCAGGACCGCTAAAAAAGCTAATAAATAAACTAAATAAAAAGCAAAAAAAAATAAATAAATAAATAAAGGATTCAAAGCCAACGGGTTTCCATAACCTAAACGAATTGAAAGTTACAACAGTGAACTAGAAGAAACAGACTTCTCTAATGGCACAAATCTCTACTGCAGTACTTAGAACATCCTCAACCTAAATGAAAATAAAACTTTTAATCGTCTAAAACAGACCGTAAACAATATCGAAAATTTGAATAACCCCTTTATCCTTCATGAGGACTAGAAGCAAGGGGAAACGATCACTTGGCGTCCTGAAAAAAGTCCGTTTTAAAAAAGCTCAACTTCACTTAACACTAACCTCACCAAATCATTCAATCTTAATTCATAAGAGTAAGTCCAAGGTAAACGAAAATCGTCCAAACGCTAATTAAAATGCACATGCTAGACTAAAGAACTTATCCTTACCTATCAATAGTTGGCCTCGCATCCCTTACACCAAGTTGTTCCATCCATTCCAGAAACTTTAATTTATTCTCTCGTTGAGTTACATCCCATGCCCAGAGGACAAATTGACGCTTTAACAATGCTGTCACTTGTCCAGAACATAGAACCTACAAGAAACAAATGAAATTTGTGTAAATGAAGAAGTATAAACAGTAAAAACAGCAAACAACGTGCCAAAACCAAATCACTCTTGAAAACGAATGAGCAGACCAAAATACATGTGGTTAATTTCACAAACTAAATAATGCAGATCAAAGCTGCAAACAGGAACACTTACGTCTCTTGCAAAAATATTGCATGCAATAGACTTGTCGTGATGCAAATAAATAACAAGAGGTCGACGCTCTGCTATTGGCCTATTTGGAGCATCGAATGCTTCTCGTGCAGCACTTCGAAGTTCTCCAACATAAAACGTAGGATGAATGGCAGCATACCTTAACATACTATGCTAATGCCATCATGTAATAAAAATAAGCTATTCTCAGTAGGCGAAAGAACGAAAAATGAAGTAGGGGTCCACAATCTAGGTTAGGAATGGCACGAAAAATTTGAGACAAGGCCTCTCCCTGTAAAATCAAAAAAAGTTCATAACCGAAATGTGAATTTTCCACGCCAGAAATAGAAAACCCCCGCAACCTGATAAGTTCCTTTAATTTTTCCAAAAAAGAACTTGCCATGAAACTTTCATTTAACCGTTGGCCTATAGAACCAAAAATAGAACAAAAAAATAGCAGACTGGCAGTAATAATGAGATTTACGACCTACCTGGACTCAAATACTGTATTGAAGTTACTAATAGCTTCAGATACTGAAGAGAAATCTGTCGGAACCAAAGGAACGTCGTCACCACTAATCCGAGACGAAGGCTTAAAGAAAAGTAAAAATAAATAACGACAAGCTCATCGACCTTCTCCAAACATGCACATTCTGTTCTCTTCAAACTAAGTGTTATTAGATATCTCACTTCATCACTTTCAACACTACCAATGTCATTATGGTAGTCAAATTCGTCAGGATCGTCGTCACTACTCATATCTACATTAGACTGATCATAAATAGCTTTTGTACCATATGACGACTGAAACCTCGTACGCGGTCTAGCGGATGAGGAACTAGGATCCGAAGTTTCAGAGATTGTCGAACTAAAGGGCTTGTATCCTGCAATCACCCTTGTAAGCCAAACACTCAACAGAATACTGGTAGAGCCGTACCACATAGAACAATTTGACACCAAAAGTTTCACTGTCAAAAATCCACAACAGTTCTCGATAACTTGGATAACAAAAAAATTTTTAACTGATTACAGCAGCTCATCCTTAAAGTCCATCTTAAGTGATGAAACTGTACGAACAACCCTTTTTCCGTAAACACCGCCTAATCTCATCAACCCCAAAAACTTTACTGGTAAAATTACATCACAACTGAACAAGCTACATTCCCAAACTGACTTTATTAGCACATGATTCCAACCTGCAACTCGGTAATTTTGTGTGACTTTTCAGTTTAATTTTTAAACGTTACTTCTCAACCAATTCCAGCTTCCTATATTTCTAAATTTTTGATTCCCGTCATGAAAACATTAAAAATAAATGTACTGCTGAAAAGGTTTTCCAACGTATTTCTTTACAAGAATTCTACAATGTACTTACAGTGTAAAAATTTAACCTTTCTAACTCATAAAAAAAACTACTAGGAAATACTGATCCATACAAGCAAAGAAAAAAAAAAACAAAGCAGACTTCACATACAAAAAGTACATCAAATTCGAATCAAAGTAACCAGGTGTCACCACCACTTACAACTACACAAAAATTATAAAGAAATCATTTATATTCCCTAAATTGAATGAAACTATACCCAAATAACTAATCTTGAAGAATGAATATCCAAAACCAAAGCTGGCAAAGAGGACTTTAACTTATAAAGAAAAAGACCACAAAATGACAGAAAAAGTAAAAACTACTCCAAGGATTCCCCACTAATTTATGTACAAAAACCAATTGGCCCATCCTACTCGTTTGACAAAAAGCACTCAAACTAAAAGGCCAAAACCTTGAAATAAGATGTAATAGTACTTTACGTCACAGCCTGTCAGAAATGAAAGGAAAGTTAACTAGTGACCATTCAGAAATAACAAACATTAAAATCAGTAACGAGGAGTTCTGATGAACCATCATCTACCAGAGAAAATAATTTGTAAGAATTAAGGCAAAAATAAATTTACGCTCTAAATGGATAATATCAGAAGCAGTCAAACCGCTTAGTAGAACTTCAAACAATAAACCTGCCCATAAAAAATCTGACTATACAGTTACAGCGGCTTGAAACTAAGTTGAAAGCAAGACAATTTTGACGAAATCGAAAAAGGGATGAACCGCTCGAAATTATAATTTAAGAGAGATGAAAACTATATAACCAAAAGAGACCTCGATAGCTACTAAGAAGAAAAAAAACATTCCCAACAATCGTAAGTAATGTGAAGAACCACCACAGTGAATGTCAAAAATCCCGAACACACCAAGCAGTCTAAAAAACGAAAAAAATTGGCGATTCAAAAAGCTCTAAAACTTAATAAACTTACTCTGTTTTCAACAAGGCAAGGCGAGGGAAAGGCAGAATCTTGACGTGATAATAAAAAGGATGCTCAGCAACAGCAAATATATTAGACACTGAACAATACGATTGAAAAATTACATTTTTGAAGCTACCATCAGTAAAATTAAGGGAATATTCAGTAATTTCAAAAAAATGAAGCCAGGACTCACATCGGCAACAACAGGTGGAGTATCCAATTGCAAAAATGTGCGAGCCACCAATAAAAGCCAAAGCTGACTTAAAGAACTACGACCACCTTTGAAAAATCTTACAATAAGCTCTCAACCTTTAAAAATTTATAATTGTTCCAGGTTAATTCATAAGAAAAAACCAAAACATTTTTGCAAAATTCTGCAAGCACAGTGGCACATCTACGAAAAAAATTACTACATGATCAGCGCGCTAAAGACATCAAAATTTTAAAATTTACATCACAAAATAATAACATAGCCTGAAAACGATGCTTACAAGCAGAAGCAACCAGGCGCATAAAGCATAAAAATCGAAAAATATACCTGGATCTGTCACAAACAGTGAACTAGCTTGAGACTACACAGTCAACAACTGTAACCGGAAAATGACAGATTTT